AGACCAAATGCCCGATTTTGTTGTCTGTAATGTTTTGTTATTATTATAACATCTATAGGTGGTAAATTTTCAACAAATGGTGCATACTTTTCTTTCTTTATTTGTTGATGAAGTCTTTGAGAACTAGAATGTTGATGAACTTTCTTGCTATTGGGATACATAGTAAGTGCTTCAAAATTGTTCAAGTATGAGTGTATAGGCAATTAGCAGTTATGCAGGAATTGTTCACAAAATGACATGTCGTAATAAATTTTTCTATGCAAGATTCTGAAGGATGAATATTTAAGTCTGCTAATAGCACAAGGGATGTTAAATACTTTAGCTCTAAAGTCATTCTGTAATTGCATTGAGCTAGCTTTGGATCCTGCTTAGACATTTGGTTGAAGGCATATTGGTGCAAGAGGAGAGGCTAAATTGAGGGTGCCCATACCACAGAGTGTGGACTGGTGATTGGTCAGATTGATAAATAGGCATACGTCTCACTCAGAGGAAGAAAAAGGCACATTTCTTTTCTGTTGGCCTTTTTATTATTGGCTAGAAAGGTTGCTGTGGATTAACTGCTTTATTCCTCTATTTCACAGTGCTAAGGCAGATTTCCATTTTTTTAATGACTGATTCCAGGTATGAGGCTAGCTTACCCACATGCAAACATAGTACATACAGCCTAATTTATTTATTTATTTTGCCACTTATTGCTGAGGATTTGTTAGAAAACAGATCAATCTAAATCCATAAAGTTCTGTATTAAATCTTTTACTGTTGACTTCAGATCAGATTCCTCTGATCAAATATTTTAGGATATAATATACGGAATCAAAAAGAAAAAAGCTAGGCATTGGGGCATTCCGAGAATCGAACTCGGGACCTCTCGCACCCAAAGCGAGAATCATACCACTAGACCAAATGCCCTATTTTGTTGTCTGTAATATTTTGTTATTATTATAACATCTATAGGTTGTAAATTTTCAAAAAATGGTGCATACTTTTCTTTCTTTATTTGTTGATGATGTCTCTGAGAACTAGAGTGTTTGTGAGCTTTCTTGCTATTGGAATACATTGTAAAGTGCCTCAAAATTCTTCAAAGATGAGTGTATAGGCAGTTAGCGGTCATGCAGGAATTGTTCTCAAAATGACATGTCATAATAAATTTTTCTCCGTAAGGCTCTGAAGGATGAATACTAAAGTGTGCTAATAGCAGAAGGGATGCTAAATATTTTAGCTGTAAAGTCATTCTGTAATTGCATTGGTTGAAGGCATATTGGTGCAAGATGAGAGGCTAAACTGAGGATGCCCATGGAACAGAGTGTGGACTGGTGACTGGTCAGACTGATAAATAGGTGTAGGTCTCACTCAGAGGAAGAAAAAGGCACATTTCTTTCTGTTGGCCCTTTTTTTTGCTAGGAAGGTTGTTGTGGATTAACTGCTTTGTTCTTCTATTTCACAGTGCTAAGTCAGATTTCCAATTTTTAATGACTATGATTCCAGGTATGAGGCTAGCTTGCCCAGATGCAAATATAGTACATACTGCCTAATTTAATTAATTATTTATTTTGCCTCTTATTTCTAAGGACTTGTTAGAAAACAGATAAATCTAAGTCCATAAAGTTCTGTATTTTGCTCTTAATGTTGACTTCAGATCAGATTCCTCTGATGAAATATTTCAGGATATAATATAGGGAACCAAGGAGAAAAAAGCTAGGCATTGGGGCATTCTGAGAATCAAACTTGGGACCTTTGCAGCCAAAGCAAGAATCATACCACTAGACCAAATGCCCAATTTTGTTGTCTATAATGTTTTGTTATTATTATAACATCTATAGGTGGTAAATTTTCAAAAAATGATGCTTACTTTTCTTTCTTTATTTGTTGATGAACTAGAATGTTGGTGAGCTTTCTTGCTATTGGAATACATAGTAAAGTGATTCAAAACTGTTCAAAGATAAGGGTATAGGAAATTAGCAGTTATGCAGGAATTGTTCACAAAATGACATGTCATAGTAAATATTTCTCTGCTAGGCTCTGAAGGATGAATACTAAAGTCTGCTAATCGGACAAGGGATGCTAAATATTTTAGCTGTAAAGTCATCCTGTAATTGCATTGAGCTAGCTTCAGATCCTGTTTAGGCCTTTCGTTGAAGGCATATTGGTGCAAGAGGAGAGGCTAAATTGAGGAGGCCCATACCACAGATTGAACTGGTGATAGGTCAGAATGATAAATAGATATACGTCTCACTCAGAGGAAGAAAAAGGCACATTTCTGTTCTGTTGGCCTTCTTTTTTTTTTGCTAGATAGATTGTTGTGGATTAACTGCTTTATTCCTCTATCTTACAGTGCTAAGGCAGATTTCCATTTTCTAATGACTGTGATTTCAGGTATGAGGCTAGCTTGCCCACATACAAATAGAGTACATACAGCCTAATTATTTATTTATTTTGCCACTTATTTCTGATGACTTGTTAGAAAACAGAACAATCTAAGTCCATACAGTTCTGTACTAAATCTCTTAATGTTGACTTTAGATCAGATTCCTCTGATTAAATATTTCAGGATATAATATAGGGAACCTCAAGGAAAAAAGCTAGGCATTGGGGCATTCCGAGAATCGAACTCGGGACCTCTCGCACCCAAAGCGAGAATCATACCACTAGACCAAATGCCCGATTTTGTTGTCTGGAATGTTTTGTTATTATTATAACATCTATAGGTGGTAAATTTTCAAAAAATGGTGCATACTGTTCTTTTTTTATTATTGATGAAGTCTCTAAGAACTGGATTGTTTGCCGGCTTTTTTGCTATTGAAATACATAGTAAAGTGCTTCAAAATTGTTCAGAGATGAGTATATTGGGCAATTAGAAGTTATGCAGGAATTTTCACAAAATGACATGTCGTAATAAAATTTTCTCTGCAAGACTCTGAAGGATGAATACTAAACTCTTTATTCACGCAAGGGATGCTAAATACTTTAGCTGTAAACTCATTTTTGTAATTGCATTGAGCTAGCTTCAAATCTTGTTTAGACCTTTGGTTGAAGGCATATTGGTGCAAGAGGAGAGGCTAAATTGAGGAGGCCCATACCACCAAGTGTGGACTGGGGATTGGTCAGAATGATAAATAGGCATCCATCTCACTCAGAAGAAGAAAGAGGCACATTTCCTTTCTGTTGGCATTCCCTTTTATATATATATATATATATATATATAGGCTGTTTTGGATTAACTGCTTTATTCCTTTATTTCACAGCGCCAAGGCAGATTTCCATTTTTTAATGACTGTGATTCCAGGTATGAGGCTAGCTTGCCCACATGCAAATATAGTACATAAAGCCTAATTTATTTGGTTTTTTTTGGCTACTTAATTCTGAGGACTTGTTAGAAAATAGATCAATCTAAGTCCATAAGTTCTGTATTATGCTCTTACTGTTGACTTCAGATCAGATTCCTCTGATAAAATATTTCATAATATAATGTAGGGAACGAAATAGAAAAAAGATAGGCATTGGGGCATTCTGAGAATCGAACTCAGGACCTCTCGCACCCAAAGCGAGAATCATACCACTAGACCAATTTCCCGATTTTGTAGTCTGTAATTGTTTTGTTATTATTATAACATCTATAGGTGGTAAATTTTCACAAAATAGTGCTTACTTTTCGTTCTTTATTTATTGATGAAGTCTCTGACAACTAGATTGTTTGTGAGCCTTTGTAGCTATTGGAATATGTAGTAAAGTGCGTCAAAATTGTTCAAAGATGAGTGTATAGGGCAATTAGCAGTTATGCAGGAATTGTTCACAAAATGACATGTAATAAAATGTTCTCTGCAAGGCTCTGGTTGAAGGCATATTGGTGCAAGAGAAGAGGCCATATTGAGGAGGCTCATAACAGAGTGTGGACTGGTGATTGGTCAGAATGATAGATAGGCATACATCTTACTCAGAGGAAGACACTGGCACATTTTTTTCTGTTGGCCTTTTTCTTTAGCCAAATTGGTTGTTGTGGATTGACTACTTTATTCCTTTATTTCACAGTGCTGAGGCAGGTTTCCATTTTTTTATGACTGTGATTCCAGGTATGAGGCTAGTTTGCCCACATGCAAACATTGTACATACAGCCTAAGTTATATATTTATTTTGCCACTTATTTCTGAGGAAACAGATCAATCTAAGTCCATAAAGTTCTGTAGTATGCTCTTAATGTTGACTTCAGATCAGATTCCTCTAAGCAAATATTTTAGGATATAATATAGGGATCCAAAAAGAAAAAATCTAGGGATTGGGGCATTCCGAGAATCAAACTCGGGACCTCTCGCACCCAA